CAGTTAGATCTCAGACTGCTGTGCTAGCAATGAGGGAGCCTCCATGGGCATGGGACCCTCCGAGCCAGGTGCGGGATATGATCTCCTGATGTGCCGTTTCCTAAGACCCTTGGTAAAGCACATTACTAGGGTGGGAGTGACCTGATTTTCCAAGTGTTGTGTGTCACAGTTTCCCTTGGCTAGGAAAGGGAATTCCCTTCCCCCTTGTGATGCCTCACCCTGCTTCTGCTCTCATTCGTTGGGCTGCATCCACTGTCCTGCACCCACTGTCCAAGATGCCCCAGTGAGATGAACCTGGTACCTCTCTTGGAAATGCAGAAATCACTCGACTTCTGTGTTGCTGCTGCTGGGAGCTGCAGGCTGGTGCTGTTCCTTTTCGGCCATCTTGGCGCCACCCCACCTTTTCTTATTTTTAAATGGAGTCTCACTCTGTGGCCCAGGCTGGATTGCAGTGGCATGACCTCGGCTCACTGCAGCCTCCATCTTCCGGATTCAAGTGATTCTCCCACCTCAGCATCCCAAGTTGCTGGGATTATATTGTGGGATCTGACCAGCAGCCCACAGTGTAACAGGCCACTTTCTTTGTTCCCAGGTGGATTGGCAGGTCAAGAAATAAAAGACACACCCATGATAGTGGAAGTGGGTCCAGGTGGGGCATTGCCATCTGATCCTGTGATGCCACCAATGCACTGGATAGACCAGCATTTATTATTATGCTTACGGAGGGCGAGGGTAGGTTAGTGAGGGATTTAGGGTCGTTTGATTATGAGGTGAGATGGTCACATGGGGTTGAAATAATTCTTTAACATAACATCGGTATGCAGAAGTACAGTATACAGAGATAAGAATTTACATCATAGTGTGTGCATCAGTAATTTCTAACAGAGCCTTAAAACACAGTCAATTCATATCCTAGGATTAGCAAGATATTAATCAGCAGTAACAGTTGCAGGAAAAGCTGGTTCCAAACAATCAATAGAAACAGGACGTGAAGCTAGACAACCAGTTAAACCAAAAAATTCTCAGAAGGGTGTATGCCTAAACCCTGAAGAGACCTAGAAGAGCTGTGGCAAGATAAGGGTATTTATAACTCTATCTTATCCATATGAACATACGCCCCTCATGTGTCAATTTATAGGCTCTCCACAAGGGTTGCCTCCCATTCCCAGAGCTACGAACATCTACTTTTCTGAGATAGGAATCTTGGTGATGTGAAACCTCCCTGACTACACGTCCATTTATAGGCTCTCTGCAGGGGGATGTATATCACGTGCTGTTGGCTCATTCTGGTAGCCCATCCTGGCATTGTCTTTACACAATCCTGCATGCAATTTTGAATTTACAACAATCAGGAGCATTTCATCTTTTGTTCCATAGCAATGGTTTCAGGGGGGTCTCCCTACAGGACTACAGGTGCGCAACACTACACCCAGAAAATTTTTGTATTTTTACTAGAGACAGGGTTTTGCCATATTGACGAGACTGGCCTCAAATTCTTGACCTTGTGATCCACTTGCCGTGGCCTCTGAAAGTACTGGGATTACAGACGTGAGCCACTGTACCCGGCACATAAACCACACATTTCTTTGGGTTTTCGAATTCCAGCCCAAGAGAAACAATTTGATATTTGAGGAATGGCTGCACACAAATATTTGCACACAAATAAAAATGTTTGTTGATTGCACCACACGAGGGAGACTCCCAGTATGACTATCAGGATGAAAATATCAAGAGTTTGGAATATGTGCCTTAGGCAAGATGCAAGCCAACTACAATAGAATAGATCAAAGAAGCAGCCAGAAGAGTCTAGTCATTTTAACCAGGCAGCACATTTGTTGACTTTTACAACTGAGTCTCTATAATACCCGATGTATTTATCCATGTGCAACGAGAAATGTCAGAAACTGCACAGGCTCCCCCCTGCTTAGCTGGTAGAGAGCAATTCTATTTTCTAGCATTGCATGTCTATGTTAAATTAAAACAGGGAGTGAGAGGAATAGGCAAGTATACAAATAGAAGCCTAAAAAAAATCTCCATATACTTGAGGAAAAAGTTGTGTTAAAGATGCAGCTAAGGGCAGCCTTTGGGTGGACTAAAGGATCTCCTGTTATGTAAAAATGTGTGGGCCAGGTGCAGTGGCTCGTGCCTGTAATCCCAGCACTTTGGGAATCCAAGGCTTCCAGATCACCTGAGGTCGGGAGTTCAAGACCAGCCTGACCAGTATGCAGAAACCCGGTCTCTACTAAAAATACAAAATTAGCCTGGTGTCCTGGTGCATGCCTATAATCCCAGCTACTAGGGAGGCTGGAGCAGGAGATTCACTTGAACCCAGGAGGCAGAGGTTGTGGTGAGCCAAGATTTTGCCATGGCACCCCAGCTTAGGCAACAACAGAGAAACTCCATCTTAAAAAAATAATAATGTGGTTGACATGATATATCTGACACTGTTAACTTACTCTCAGAAGCTACTTCTTGTGAAATCCTAAGTACAGCATTATTCTGGGAAGCAAAGGAGACAGGCATAAGCAAGGACAAATTGAGAGAGGTAAGAGTCTCATCATGATTGACAGTCTTGTTCTGACATCTTGAGAAAAGCTGTCCGCAGTGTACAGTCATCAACTTGTTGTCGTGCTTTGCAGTATAAGTGTCTCTAAGTGATGGTGTTGAACATTTGGTGAGCTCTGAGTGGCCCACACATCAGACAAGAGGGTTTTCCCATGAAATTTACGTTGAGTTGTCCACCTCTAGCTTATATGGCTTCAGGAACAGAGCTGTTCTTGTTCTTAGTGATTTCATTAGAGAAAATTGAATTGGAAGAACTAAAAGAATTCAGGGTCCAGTCCAGTCTACCAGTAGATTGTAAATGCTCAAAGATAATGAACAGTGGTTCAATCTGGTAACAGGTATACTACAGTTTTTCTTTTCAACATAATTTTTCTCTAAATAGGTGTCTGTATTTTTTACCAAAGATAATTCCAGTAGGATGAATTGTTTGCAAAATAGGTTGACTCTCACCAAACTTGCCTAGATTTTTTACCTAAGTTCAGCAAGA